GAAAGTAAGTACCTACTATCTCTACAGTGAAAGTATACCTACTAGTCTCACAGTAGAAAGTAATCCTACATCTCACAGTGAAAAGTATCCCACGTCTCACAGTGAAAAGTATCCCACGTCTCACAGTGAAAAGTATCCCACGTCTCACAGTGAAAAGTATCCCACGTCTCACAGTGAAAAGTATCCCACGTCTCACAGTGAAAAGTATCCCACGTCTCACAGTGAAAAGTATCCCACGTCTCACAGTGAAAAGTATCCCACGTCTCACAGTGAAAAGTATTTGGGGTTTCAGAGTGAAAATCATTCTGTTTCTGAGAATGAAAAGAATTGTGTGTCTGAAAGTGAAAGGTATTCTGTATTTCAACAGAATGAAAAACATCGTGGGTCACACAGTCCTTACCCTATGCAGCTTTCTTCAGAACGTACTTGCAGCCCACATCATTCCATAGGAAGAAAATCTCATCAACGTATTCCAGAGTATTTGCAATCGTGTGACACAAGAGTAACACCTGTAGAGTCATGGCAGAAAGATGGCAAACGTAATCCAAATCCATCTAGCTTAAAAAAAATGGAACCAAAGAGTGATTCCTTTTTTACTAAGTCTTATTCCAGTCTCAATAAGTCCTTCCCAGAAGAGAAGTTTAAAAAACAGAGGTTGAAAACATCTTCAAAATCATGTGGATCAGTTTCAGGAGATTCCTCTCCTGCCTCCAGTCCAGATAGCCAGTCAAGTGTTGATTCCTCAGGTGGGTATACCGAAGTTTTAAGGAAAGAATTGAATGTTAGAGTTTGTTTATTAATCAGTTTGCTAATTGTCAATTTTTTTTTCCCTTCATCACTAAATTATTTTAGGGCGTTAGTGATGAGTAAAGGATTCTATATCAAACTCTTCAACTAAATGTTATTAATGCTTATGAATGCTACAAGATTATGTTACAAGGAGTTATTTAAACTGAAGAGGATATTGATACAAAATTGTAATATTTAATTTATTAACTCTATGTGCATGCGTAGGGACTCAAATTGAACATGCCACTATTTTTTCGGAGTGTGATTCAGAATTATCAAATGATTTAGTGATAGTTTGTGATGGAAGAGAGTAAATATCAGATAGAATATGCAGATCCTAGAGGTTATGCTAATAGTGTATACAAAATTTGTGGTGGAAAAAAATATTTTCATTCTTAACCTGAGTATCAACTTGCACTAAATTTGTCAAAATCTGAGTCAGACTGTTGTGATCAATTCACAGTCATATCTTGGGTACAGGTATTTTTGTAACTTGTTTGATTTTTCGTGTATAACAGACTTGTACATTTTATTAAAGCTTGTTATATTTTATGTAGATACACTTGTTAACTCAGAATTATTGTCAACAATCTTTCTCTGATAGAGGACCGGCCCATTGGATCAACCCGGTGCATATTTGGTTAATAAATTCACCAATCTTTGGTTCTAATTTTAGGAAAACTGAGTTTTGTGGACTTAAATATTACAGTGAGAAGTATAACATGCTTAGTATCATTCTACTTTATACCAGGATGAAACTCCCTGTGATGGGATAAAGTTAGATTGAACATGGCCTGGTGGTTATTGTGCTGACTTGTAAATTGGGAGGTCCAAGATTTAAGCTGTTACATGCCCTAAACATGTTCTGCAATCTCAACTGTGGGAGTTTTATACTTTTGACAGTCATTCTTAGTGTTTTCAATCTAGAATAGCTGAATAGGGAATAGGTTTGGTGACTAGTTACCCTCCTTTCGATCAACAGTTCTAATTTAGGGTTAGTTATACCTGAATTTTAAGGATCTTTGACCATTTGACTCGTGTTGTAGAAGGTGCTGTTCAGGTTGAAAATAACAAATGTCTGATTGAAATTAAGTGAAAATAAAGGTATAATATTTTTATCTGTTAAGGGTATTTGCTTAGCTGCTCACCCATGATCTTTTTGCCATTTAAAAGTTTTTAGTTACTAGAGTTTATGAATGTATGGGGCATCTGATTTCCACTTTTAATCAATAAGCGCTGATAAAACTTCCCCACAACAAAAAGAAAAAAGCTTATTCATTTTACATTTTATCGAGTCACTGTGCTTCCGAGATTTGACCCTTTCCATATGGGTTCGTGTCTAATTATTATTATTTTCATTATTTTAGCCAATCTAATCTAATGAATTTCTAACTTTTATGTTTTAGTTACTTTTAGTTGGAATTATACATGTCTTCATTTTTTGCTGTTCATTTCCAAACAAAGTTAAGCCTGCATTTTTGTGTGTACGATGATTGAAGTACATTAAACAAGTTTTATTTATTTAAAACACCTACCTATGATTACAGATTAATAACATGTACAAAGCAAACAATACCTTTAAATATTATACTTTAAGTGGCTTTCTAACTAGAGTATCAGTGCCTTAAAATATCAAGTCAAGTTAATTGTAACTTTGTTTTTATAATTTCATATAAAATATCAGCTGCTCTTACAAAGCTTTAACATAAATAGAACCATGTATGCAGAAATAAAAATTAGTGTGCAGAGAATATACGGTATATTAGTGTACTCGTCACAGTATCAAAAATGAAAATTCTGAAAGACACTGATTTTAAGGTACCTGCATAAAACTTAAAATAAACATCCCGAAAAACATCAGCTTTAAGGTATCTAAGTAAAACTGTAAAACAGCTAAAAATAAACACCAATATTTAATAAAAAAAAGAAGCATAAAAAAAACAAAGCCTTATAAATGTGTTGCACTTCAGACAATTTCTTAAACTGTATTACTGAAAGAGGTTTGAACCAGGACAGTAAACAAAACAATTATTTAAATTATTTTTTGTGTTTTAAAATTAATATTTTAAAGCTACATGCATTATTTTTTGGACAAATAACAGAAAATACAAGGTTTGTGAAAACAGGTTACTCAAAATATAAAAAGGCCTCAACACCTAAAATAAGTGCCAAATATCTTTTTATTTTTGTTTGATATCTTTTATCAAAATAACTAAAGTGTACAAATTAAAATCTTGTTAGGTTAGATAAGGAAAATATTGTTCAAAGGGCAATAAAGCAGTAAAATTCAACCAAAGCTGTTTATGATGGATATTTTTTAACAGGTGCTATCTATAGTCATTCTAAGAGAAAGAAAAAAGTGCCTTTGAAAATATGAATATCTCATATTTTCAACTTTTGCTATAGATTATTTCTCGACAGCTAGTGAAAGTAGAGAAAATAAACGAAGTACAAAGTTTTACCAAAAAAACTTTATTTAGGAGGCTCTAGTGGTTATGTAAATGAAAAAAGAAAAAAAGTAGTGTTATATTCTTAGTATGAAAATCACCTTTCACTCAGAGTAGTCAGTAATAAAATGGTTTGTCTCACTGGATACCTGATGAAGGGTTGTTGCCCAAAACTTTTTTGTGTTTACTAATAAATTACTTTTAATTTGGTGAGCTTTTCACTATTATTATATTTTCTATTTCACTCGAGCAGTCTGTGTCAGACTAAATTCATAAATTCACAGTCAATTCTTTTGTAAATATACTTTGTTAAAAAAAAATGGACCTGGTATTAATTGGTATTTTGTTTTGTTTAAACTGAAGTGGAATGAAATAAGGCATTTGGTGCTTTCAAAATAGGAGTCAAAAATTTTGGTTCTGTTCAAAGCAAAGCTGGAATGAAAAACAATTCAGGTTTAAATGGATGATTACTGAGGTAGTAAGCTGATATTTTGAAAAAAAATCTGTACAAAAAATATGCTGTTCTAGGAGTGAAAGGCTGGAAAAAACTGTATTATTTTTCTCCTGAAATAATAAAATTATAAGGTAAAATTGATCAAATACTAAATTAAAAAGCTGAAATTTTAAGGTAACTAATTAAATTCTTTACTTACAACTGGAAGTTTTTATAATGTTCTAAAAAGTGTACCGTCATTCTAGATGGTTGTATTTCCAGTTAGTATTTGTTAGCAAAAATAATTGTCAAACATCCAGCTGAGTGTTAAGTCAGCTGTTTGTTAGGCATCCAGTAGTATACAATGGTAGAAAGCAAAATAATCATTGGTTTTTATTGATTAGTGTGAAAGTAATTACAGCCTCAACTCGTTGTTACGTTGTGCTATTTTACTTTTCATTACATTATGAAAGCAAGACCAAGTGAAACTGTTATTTGTGAAATGAACTCAGCCTTTTGAAAGTTTGGAAGATAAAGGTACAACGAGTAAAATGTATGTATTGAAAGAATCTTGTTTCAAACAAGTCAGATTTTATCTTTCATCTCATTCCTTTACAACTGAAGTTTATGTTATATAAGTATGTTGTGAGAAAATAAAACGTTTGTATAAATTGTGATTACTGTCTTTTATTTTTAGGATTTTTCTCTTCAAATGGCGAAGATTTGGATTATCTTGGGTAAGTAGAAAGACAGACATTAAGGAGATTTTTGGTATCATACAAGCCCTCAATATTAATTTTATTCTTCTCTTATGTGTCTAATTTGTAAACCATAATTACTGAATATATATTTTTTAATCTGAATAAGTTGCGTTGATACTTAAGCTAGTGGTCAGAGTTTTGTGTTTGATCTTGCTATGTTAATGTACCTGGAAACTGATACTTGCTGTGATTTTGGATATTTTTTCACCTGATCTATTATTAATTTGTATTTATCAAACAAGAATAATCATGAATTTCTGTTCAGTATTGTTATTTTTACTAATACTTTATATTTTATATCCAGCAAAACTTGTGATAGTTAAAAAGTTTAATGAGTTAAGGTGTGTGTGTGTGTGTTTTATTAATACTTAATTTAAGAATATATTTTGTGGATTCATGTAAATTAGGATATATATTCTTCAAATTAAAGTTGACTCAGACAAAGGCCTTCATCTTAGTATAAAAATTCTTTTCCAAAACAGAAAGTTTGTGGTGATCTCTAACAATGAGCAGCGGGCTAGATATAAAGCAGACTTCAATGCAGAATATGAAGAATATTGCAGGTTACATGGAATATTAGTAGACGTTTCTAAAAGATTTGCGACTTTAGATTGTACATTACGACAATTTGAGGAAGGCTCAGATGATTGGGAAGTAAGTATTGTGATTAAAATCTTGTTTTTTTGGGTTGGCATGAAACATTTCTCATGAAATAACTTTTTTAATGTAATCAAAGTTAGAAAATTTAAAAATTAGTTTCCTTCTGCTCAAGTTTACCTCTAATAGTTTTCACTTTGTTTTGTAAGTTTCAAGCTAATTTAGTTTTGTGTTTGTAGTGATAACATAAGTAAGCATGTGGTAATTATTTAAAATAGCTGTGAATAATGTTTAGATTGTTATTATAATTGTTTGAGGGTATCCATTAAGGAAGCAAATATTGTATAAAGGACAGTGTTCTTTTCTTTCTTTTATTATCAAATCCCTAATGACCTCATTAGATGCTAATTACATATTCTGTTTTGTGAAAGGTAATAACACTCATTTAACTGATTATGTACTTGTATCTTTCAATTCAAAACTAAAATTATATAAAAAAAGTGGAAATGTGCCCGGTTTCAGTGTTTTTTTTTTATTTCCATTTTTGGACAGAAATCCTAAACAAAGTAGCCCATGTACACCAGTTTCCAGTTACTATACCAGACATTATGGTAATTGAGCTAGCCAATTCTGTATGATGGATGAAATACACACACATACACAGAGAAAATTATCTTTATAGTAAGATCTAATCATTCAGCCACACTCTTATCTACGTTATTGTGAATTGCCATGGAGTTTGTTCACTTTACTTTGAGTATTCCATATATTTATAACCAGGAATCAGCCTTTTTGGCCTATCTCTCAATATCAATAACAGTGAGGGTATCCAATTGATTACTGGGTTGAATTTTAATATCACTCTGAGAACATAGCTTATTCTGATCATAAGTTAATGTTAATTTATATGTTTATAACCAGTGAATAGTTTGATCTTTCTGATCAGGTTTTTATTCATGCAAATTTTCGGTATTCCGTATGTTTATAGTCATAAATCATACTCCTCATCTAATTTTCCAGTACTCCTTGTATTTTTTAATAAAGAAACAGTCTTTTGGTCTTTTTGACAAATTTTTCAGTATTCTATATGTTTATAATTATAAACAGCCAGTGACACAAAGAAACTTTTATAGTTGTCCTTGGCACCACCAGGGCATGCTCACATTGCAGATAGTACTTTGGTCTAATTTGGCCCATTGTATGTATGTATTGAGAATCTGCCTGAGTTTGAGACTAAAGAAATGTATGATGTTCAGGAATTGCACTGTATGTAATTAAACCAAAAGAATAGTATTTTATAAACAACTAGCTCATTATTCCTTCAACATTGTAATTATTTCTTCACACCACCCCTGCTGCAGTATACAAGATTTCTATATTTCAGATTCTTTATAGGTCAAGAATTTATCACTACTTGATGAGGTATTGTGCCTATCATTGGCTACCCCACCACTGCTGACTAATCTTTTAATATTCCTTTTACTTTGTAGAATAATTTGGGCTTAGAATGCCACTTATAGAAAAATGTTTTAATGTTCACGTTTATTGGTCTAAAGACTTGAAATATGTCTGTGTGTGCCTATGTATGAAGAACAAGTTTCCTACACAGATCTCACTAACTTTAAATATATATCAAGTTAGTGAGGTTTGCATAGGCAACTTGTTCTCTATTGAAAAACTTGCCAAAGAAGATGTCGGGGGAATACCATTTAGTGTAGCACTTATATTTTTTAAATAGTTATTTATTATATAAAAATATGACTAGATCATTATAAGCTGTTATTGAAGTAGTCATATTGGTGGTTTAGAGGAATAATGACATGTAGATAAACTACTACTGTATAACAGAACAATTACAGATATGGCTAGATAAAATGTTAATGTGAGAACCTTGACCAGTCAAGGTATGAAAAACAACAAGTCAGGTTGAATTAGTATGCTCTAAAATGAAAACTAAAAAATTTCAAACATTTTCTAAATAAAAAATACATATTATGGGAGAATAAGATTCTTAGTATTTGCATATTATATGGTAAAATGTGTGTGTGTGAGTGTGTATGATAGGCACAACAAAATGTGGCTTGTCCAACTTTCCCTAATGATTTCTGGGTGATGTACGACTTTTATTAAATATTTATTTGGTATCTTCATGTGGGACTCGTGTTAATTTTTTTGTTTGTCATGTTAGTTTAAGAAGTTTTAGAATACCTTATTTGTTACATGAAACTACTTAATTTTAGGAATTATTAAAGCAATAAGTTAAATATCCTTCAAAAATAGCAGATATGTGCTCTTTATATCAAAGTACATTAAACACTGACTATTAATATTTGTTACTATGATGTATCAGTTGTATATTGCAAATGATTATTGTTCTTTAAAGGGAAAGAACTATTACATTTCGAGCTTATTGCTTCTGTATATAGTAAAAAAAATTCTTGATACCGAGGATTAAGTAACACTTTATGACAATGATGTTCTAGGTTGTGTGCCACCCTTTCAATGATTTCCATTGTTGATTGTGCTTAATCTGATGACTGTGATTGCATTGTTGGCAAGTAAACTTTTGTAAATGATGGTAAGTTCATTAAACGACTTGTCTTGAGAAACTTTCGAGAGACCTTCCATTTTATGTAGATGTCGGCTTCCAAGTCTGTGTTTAAATGGACCAGAAGCAAAAATATTCTGTTGTAGCTACTTCAGGAAACTTGACAATAGTGTGGTTGAATAGGGTTGATATATATTCATTTTCTTTGCCCATCTTGTTCTTGAAAGCAACCTTAGAGTTTGAGGTGTGAAAGAACTTTGTGAGCATTAATTACTTCAAATTCTCTCTTTTTTATTATCTTATTAATGGTACTCAATTTCAACAGTGGCTTTTTAGGTAGAAGAGTTAACTCCATTACAATAACCTAACTTTGCATATGACAGTATTGCTCTGGATTGACTTCAAGTGTGGTTTTGGAGCTTGTTGCTCACCAAAATGCTCTGCCCTATGGGTGTTCTGCTTCTGTGGATTACATCGAAGACTTTCTTTTTCAAAATTTTGTGTTTGACTCAACCTCATTAAAGAATTCAGAAAGTGAATTTCCTTCTTTGGAAAAGACTGTGACTCACCCTTCCAGCATAAGTATCTGCATGGTACTGCACATTAAATTTTCAAGAATTCACTGTGAACCAAATATACAAGTGCTAAACATATTGCTGTTGAGTCTCAACTCAAAGGTGTGGTAATATACCACAGCATTTTGGTGTGGAAATCAGTGTTATAAAGTGCTATTAACCTTTTGTATACGTATGAACTATATGGAAATTTCCAAGCTCTCACCTAATAATTCAAGTTTATTCCATTTCTTCTAGCAAATTATGCACCAGATTAAAGTAGAATACAAAGAAAACAGAAGAAAGCAGTACCATCACGTGAAGAAGCGATTTCAGTACTTGCATAACAAATTATCTCATATCAAACGACTCATCATGGACTACGACCAAGCACAGAGATAGAATCTGATGAAGATCTTTCTGTCCAAACTGTACGAGGAAAGTATTTGTGTACATGGCATACATTTGTGACGTACAGAATGATATGTAAGACTTTTCCTAATTTTATTGTAAAAAAAAATTGTGGAGAAGGATTTAAAGGTTCAAATATGTCACATTTTTTTAAAAGATAAAAGGTCTTCAAGTGAGAACTGAAAGAAGACAAGTTATTATTAATTTCCTGTGAAGAAAAAATCATATTGATATAAGATTTAAAAGAAAAAAAAAAGAGATGTTAAAGTTAGGCTTAACAGCGAATAATCTTCTGCTGTGAAATCAAAGTGTAACTGGCTAGAAAAGATTGTTTTGCCCACCATATGTACATGTGTACACCCCCTTCCCGCCTCCATTTTCACCCACTACCCACCCATGTTCTTTCTGAACTTGTATCTGTCAGCTCAGTGTTATCCATCTAGTTCTTGCTATCAGTTGCATATTTTTCTTCCTTATGGAAATATTCTTTTTGTACATTGAAATTTTCAGTTGATGTAAAAATGTACAAAATGACTTTCTTTCTGAAAAGAATTCTTAATTTTGAAGTTTCCACAATTAACTATTTTTTTTTTCATTAACCATGAGTACATTGTATTTTTGACTAGTCACATAGTAATTGTGATGTTCTCATGAAACTGGCAGAGGAAAAAATTTGAAGACAAAAATATTTTACTCACAGAGGAGTATTAGGTAATTATTTTCAATGTATCTGTTCACTTTAAGATATGTTTGTAATTTTCAAGTTCATAAAATTAATAATGTGTCTAGAATGATGAGCAAAATGATTATGGTGAAGAAATTTTTACGTTATGAAATTGGTGTAACTGAAAGTCCAAGGAAATGTAAGAAATTAAAACATAATTTTAGTGGTTTACAAAATTTGTGTTATTGTTTAGGAAAATATATTTTTTAATACAAAAGTTTACTGACTCGTACAATTAATAAGACAGATAACTCCAAAAGCCCTTTATCCACTATTTTTATATAAAACATCTTATGTGCTTTGTGTCAAACTATGCATTTGATGGTCTTAGGTGACCATGTTTCTATTAGGGGCTCTTGAGTCACACTGATAAAAAACAAAAAGTGAAAATAGAATATGTTACTGTTTATATTGTCTCTAAAACTGTTGACATTTTCATTTTTGAAAAAAAAAGGTTAATAAAAGATATTCCAATGTTTGATATCAGTTTTGGATACTTAGTATAATCTGCAGAGATCGCATAAGATATAGTGATCCCAAATATCTATTATTTGGACAGATTTCTTGTTAAGGTTGGAGATATTAGATCTTAGTAATTCTGAAATGACTATTTTGAAGAAAATGAAAGTGTACCTTGAAGTTTATACTGTAAACTTTTTATCAGAACTCCATTGGCAGTTCTTGAAATTCTTTCAACAGTGATATAGGCAGTGTATTCATGATGAAAAAAAGGTGAAAATTGCCACCAATTTCCTTATATAGATAACAGAACTTTACTTAAAAGGCTTTTTCTTTTCTGAACTCATTTCAGTACAATTCTACTAATTGTATGGTGCCCATTTTCACCTTCGTGTCATCATGAATAATTGACTTATTCAGAAATTCAAAATGGAGCTTTAAATTTGAACTTTATGTTGCAAGTATGTGCATTATATTAATGAAGTAATAATTTCAACAAAATGTTAAAAGAAAAGAAACATTTTGTAACAGCACTCCTGAATTTATCTTCTTTGATAAATATGTGAAACCCAGTTTTTTTAATTTGATTTTCTTAGCTCATAGTAAACATATTCCAGTTTCATGCTTTTTTTTTTCAGCTATTGATGATGTGATATTTCAGTATTCTCTCTTGAACACTGTGCAGCTCAGAACTTTGAAAGTTTGAGGATAAAAGAATGGGTATTGTTTGATACTTGTTTATCCTGTGTTGGAAAGACCAATTTTATAGATGGTCTGCAGTCTGAGTATTGCATTCATATTTGCATGACCTGATGCCTACCTCATAAGGTTTGAATAAGCTACTAACCTTTGTTTTATTTAATTTTTTAAAGAATGGAAGTGCTCAGTTTGATTTTGTTTATGTCAATATGTGCAACAGAATTTCGGTCAAGATTAACATGATTTACATTTGTTGTTCTTGGTTTGCATCTCTGACTTGGCAGATCCTATTATCACAAAAAACACATTATGCTTATTTATTTTTAGAAATAATAGTATTTTTTTAATGGGAGAGTATTTTTTTTTTCCTTGATTTATTTAACATTAATAACTTGTTTCATATGTAGCTCTCATTATGCCTGTACAATCCAAAACTTGCATGGTGCCAGGTCTTTCCTAGTGTATAATTTTTGTACCTAACATTAACCACCAGATTGATTATGGTTGTTTCCATAATTTTAGTTAGGCCATTTGAAAGATATTAGCTATATGCACGTATAATGTAATTAGACAAAAGTTGCACAAAACGTATTAACACTAAAACGTGAAGTTCTCAGTAGGCATGGTACCATTTCAAGAACCTTTGTGATCTATCGACTACTTATCTGAAACTTTTTTTTTTTCAATTCACGTGAATAATGGCAATATGGTAGACATTCATTTTCTTGCAGGGAATAGGCTAAAGTTTACCAGACTCACCTAGTACAACCTTTTTTTTTTTTTTAAAGAATCACTCTTAATTTTTTCCAGAGTTAAGTGAATGGTATTGCATCTCATAAAATATCTGAATACTTTAAATGTCTCCAATGCTATCTTTCAGAATACAAAGCTTGTTTGTTTAGTGTTTGTGGAAATGAATGTAATGCAAGAATAGGTCAGGATTGCTATGCTCATTATGATGTGATAATAAGTGAAGTTGAAACTTTTTTAAAGTGAGGGAAAAAAATGTCACAGTGGGCTGATGTGGCTTTATTTTCTAATATTTTTTCAAAGAATTGTGGAAAGATGCAAGTTGTTCTGTTGGATTATTTATTGCCAGGCATATTCTTTGCCCTTAGTTAATGTTATTTGAACATTTTTTTTATAGGGTTGTGTTATATTGCAAAACACTTTTTATCATTTAATAATGAATGCATAAAAACTCTTTAGTTTTTGTGATGTGTGGGCCTTAGGTAAAAAAAAGGAGGCTTAAAAAAGAAAAGTTTTCTTGGGAGGGAAGGCGGGTGATTTGAACAAAAAAATAAAAATATTGAGCATTTGATTTAAAGTAACTTAGAAAAGTGGGAACTACTTGTTTTCCTAAAGGCACAGTCTAGCCACTTGATTAGTTGCAATCAGACGTATGTGGTTGTGTTTTGATTGAAAGATTCATCTCTCAAGGATATTTATGTTGACGACCGGAACGGCTAAACGACTTCCTTTTTTTTTGTATGTTTTTGGTATATGTGCCTTAAGTCAGTAATTTGTTGCTTGCTTATTTTCCCCCGTTGCTCTCATATACGAGCTATAATTGGGTTGTACCTATTTCTACATTTTTATTTCACACACCTTGGAGGTTATTGGACACTGATATTGTTATAAGCAGTTAAATGTGGACTAAATCTGGGTGTTCAATTACTTGTAGTCTGGAAATGCAGGATGACTTTTTGCTATGTACTATCAGTGAAAAATTTACAAATGCATACTAATTTTTGTGATTAGTATAGAAAGTAAAAAAAAAAAAGGGGTTTTAGTAGAGACTTTCATAACAATTTAAATAAAATATTTTTCAATTAATGTAGAGTTCTCATATTAAGTATACATTGTACAGAATATTATAGTATATAAAATGATCTATTTTAATTAAAATAAATGTACTAAGGTGAAGTAATGATAATATTGTAACTAATAAAAATTACATATAAAAAGATATATGAAGTATATAATGATTTATTTTAATATATCAGCAAGCATAAAATTGTATTTCTCTTAGTTTAATGCAAAACAATTTAATATAGTTCTATCATTTAATTTAACTTTTCTTCTTACTAAGGTTTATGTTGTATCTGGATATATATATATATATATATATAAGTTTTTGACAGATGTTCAAAACAAAAAAAAGTGAAAAACCAACCAGTTTAATGGTTTTTGAATGGCTTTCAAGAATTATGCTGTAACATTTATTTTTTGGTTGTTACTTTAAATAGAATAATTAATGCAAATTAAGAGGATAGCTATATAAAAAGTAAACTGTTGAATAATTATAAGTACAATATTTCTTTCAAGTAAGTTGCTGAAGTACAGCATATACCTAGGTTGTGAATTTAATCCTAACCAACTTGGTTGCTGTAAGACACTGTGAAATTTTTTTGATTAGAGGTCTCTGGTTATTAGTATAGTTTGTATCAGTAGTGGAGTCTTTATGTCACAGTTATCCTGGTCCATTGTAGAAACATTTTTTGTATACTAAACTTTATGCCTACCAAGGGAAGAGGGATGTTGTTACTGTATTTTCAAGTGCCATTATTTAATATTATGAATGGTGAACTCCAAGCAAATAAATTTGAAAAAAAAAAAAAAAAGTGGTTATATTTACTCATTCCAAGTATATAGTCTGAACTAAATTAAAAATCCAGAGACATTTTGGATTGCTGTGCGAAAAGGTTGATGGGTTTTTAGTTTGATGCCACATTTGATCTGTCATTTAATGATATTTGTAAGAATATCATTAATAACTCAAACTTATATTGTATAGTCTACCATTTGGAAAATATTGGCATAATTACATATTAGATTTTATAGGAGCATCATATGAAAAAACTGTTTGAATCTTGGTGACTGAAAACCAACTGTAGGACATTAACTACATCAGGCAAATTACATTGAAAACTAGTCATTGACGTTGTTGAGAAAATAAATTTTAATCAACCAACTTATATGGAAAAGTGAATTTAAATATCTACAAATTAATCAAATAAATTAGTTTTCAGGACAAAATGCACTGACTTTTGGGCAGTTTTTTTATATTTGGTTGTTTCAGTAAAAACAATCAAAAGGAAATCAGCAAACTTAAATTTTATTACAAAGAACAATTTGATTTTTAATGTTAATGGTATTTTTTACTGTTTTATTTCAGCTCTAGTTTAACTGAAACTTAAAATCGGATGTGACATCAAACGCTTATACCAGGCTTGTCAGTTGTTTCACTAAATGTGTTGGAGCCTAAGTGGGCAGCAGTAGTGGTGTCAGTGTTGTACAACATGGATGTATACATTCATAAAATAAACTGACTTGTTGCATTCATTAGGATGTTTTGTGAATTTGTTTTATACCACAGACATTTCAGTTCCAATTTTACACTTGTTTTTAACAGAAAACTAGAAAATTGTTACTGATAAGTTTACACTTGATTTTTCACTAATTACACAGTTCTTGTTTTTGAGATTTTCTCTGTTACACACTGTTACAACAGCTAGCCACAAGAAGTGAATTAAAACATTACAGGATGATCTAGCAGCAATGTGCTATGTCTGTGTTTTGTAGTTGGGATAAAAATTAATGTGAACTAGCAAAAGTAGTGTAAGCTAAAAAAAAGTAATTATATATACACACACACACACAGAGTTATATGTGTATTTATAATCTAATCAAATACAAATGATGAGTTAATGAAAGAAGTTTGGAATTCAGTTTCAATACTATGTTTATTGATCTGGTTTTCATATAGCTCTCTTATGATTAATATAAAAGTTGTCTGGCAATGAATGTTCACTATTAAATAAAATTAGAGAGCATTAATATATGTTTTTTCCAGATTTTCTTATACCCTAAAAATTGGAGGTCACATAACCATGGTGGGCACAGCACAGATAGTCCATTATCTAGCTTAACTCTTAAATAAAAGCAAACCCTGGATTTCACAACTTAACTGGCTTTTGATTTATCTAGTGACCAGGGAATAAATACCTATATTGATGGATAAAATTAAGCAGTCTGTTATATTTGATAACTTAAAACGATTTCAGAAAATTTGGTATACTTGTGTACATAGCTGTCTAGTGGTATTTGATAATTGATAGACCCATTAATTGATTACTCAAACATTACAGTGTAAAACAAAAAGAAAAAAACTAATGAGAAAGCGGTTAGTGCCCTAGACAGTTGCCTTCCATCTCGTCGGCATTTTAAAATTAGCCCATTATGTAGCTTTGTGCTAAACATAATAGCAATATTTTGATTACTTGGACAGTTGAAGTAATCAAGAATAGTAATAATTGGAAACCATAGTTTCAGTTAATTATTTTAGTGACATTTAATGTAAATTGACTATTGGAATAATTAACAAACAGTAATAATCAGAAATACTAATTTCAACTGATGAACTTAACCCTTTGTATGCAGGTAGATAAAAGTGTGCATGTCACGACATTTTAAAAATTTAATCAAATTAATTTATTATCAATTTATATCAATAAATTTAGCATTAAAAGGTAGTTGATAGATAAGATTTTACCATTAGCTAAGTTTTAATTTCTTAATTTCAAAAATAAATATTTAAATTCTCAATTTTCACTTTTGTTTTTCATATGATGCTTGTTCATTTCAAATAGCCTCTAGTCATTTTTTCTTGGATATAAACTAGAAAGTCAAATCCATGCTCTCCTATAACAGTTTTTTAAAAAAAAAACATAAATTATTTTCTGTCATTTGCTATTAAAATATTGATAACCAGAAGAAAATAATTTAATTTACTTCTTTAACTATAATACCAGCTCATTCTCGCAACTGATCTGGAATTATTATGCCTTCTAAGTCAATGTTACCAAGCTGAGTGCAGCTTTACCAGCTAAAGAAATTATATTAATGCACTTATAACTTAGTTAGAAAGCCAATTAAATTATAATAGTTATAGGACATTGTTTTCTTTGCCCATAATATTATTTTCTGTCCTAAAAAGATATTTGTTATAAATAAAAATTCATTAAACTACCAACCCAAACAAAAGTTAAGGTTAACTTTTATTGACTCTTGGAGCCTTCAACTGCAAAAAAAGACCCACACATAAGTCCCGAATTTGTTTTTTATACATATTTTTAATTATTTTTATAAAAATAATTAACATTTAAAAATTAGAAACTTAAAGTTGGATACAATTTAAATTCAAAAAATTAAATTAAATTTCTCAACTAGTTATGGAAGCTAGAATTTTGTGCTTTATAATTTAATATTTTGATTACAAAAACTTGAGCTTTGCATTTGATATTTTTAAGTTTTTGTATGCACAGTTAGTAGTTAGAAATGGTTCAAAGAGCAATAAAACAAAATTAAATAAACATATAAACTGTTAAGAGGTCTGAGGCTGTTTAAGGTAAATAATTTATTTTCTGTTACAGTTGGCCAAACGAAAAAAAATGGTAACTTATATTTATTTCATACTTTTATTTTTGTGTGAATGTAATGGTTACAAGGTTGATCAAATAGATCGAGCCAGTTAGGGTAGAGAAAATAACAGATAAAATATAAAGTTTGGTGCGTAAAACTTTCAACATTCACTTAGGAGATTCTAGAGATTATGTAAATGAAATTTGAAAACTAAGATGAAAGAAAGTATTTTTAACTTTAGCAAGAAAGTCACTTTGTGCTCAGACTCTGAATCCATAGACAAAATTTTAGTGAAAATACTTAATTGAAAAAATTTGATTATTTATTTACCAAAGACTTGTCATGTTTACTAAAAGCTTGCCAAATTTTGTTGAGATACAGAGTTAATTGCAATTCTGATTAACCAATTAGTTTCCATGATACTAATCAATGTGATAGCTGCTCATTTATGTTGACTAATTGATTAAATTACCCAGCTGTAATTGTATATCCACCAGCTACTTTCAGATACAAAAGTCATCTGGGACCTTTTACACTGATTAACCATTTTATTAGAGTCATCCACATGTTTGCAGAATACACTTTATCATATGAGGTGTCAGTGATTGCTTGAACTGTATAAATACACAAGGGTAGTCACATCATGGTTTGTCTTCAAGGCACTGGGCAAGAGCAAGGATATCACAAATGTTCAAAGGGGCATTATAAATTACAGTTTCTTTGATTGGCAGTTTATAAACTATGTAATATTTAATGATTGTTTCACCATGTTCAGTCATATCACACAAAATAAATTATAAATACTGCTAATTTGCAGCCCAAAACTTATTTATTTTTGGATTCTTTGAATTTTTTTAAATAATGCTAAAACATCCAGAAGGTATATATATATATATGCTCCTTTATATCCCCCCTCGATAAACAAGGGTGATCTTTCTTGGCCAGTGGAATGTGTTTAATTTGTTAATAAACTTATACAAATTTCGTGTGTAGTTTTAAGTTACACAAATCCTTTTGAGATATGGGTTTTATAAAGTGGCGAGTCACTGTAATTGCAAGAATATGATGTGAATTTTTAGTATCACTGTACATTTGACATGGCAAGGCACGTGAAAGGACTTAAGTATCATAAGATGGGAAAAGTGCCTATAAGAAAAGACTAATCATCTGGACCTTTATTTTGCAATTAAAAATATCTTAAGTACTGTATTTTTGTTAAATTAAAAAACATTCGTTCATTTTATGATTTGCTATGACATTATTAGCCTTAACGTACCAATATTGTCCACTTTTGGTGTTATGGAAGTGATTTTTCACACATTAACTAAAAGTATATTTAAACACCAGTGCATTATTTACGTAACAGAAATTGGAAGATATATTGAAAAATCGTTTTGCATATAGTGTTATCTCAACATTTTGGGGCTAAAATATTAAGTTGTTGAGATTGTATTTAGTCCTGTAATGTTTTAAAACATTTTTTATTAGTAGGGATTAACATGGCCAATATGCAAATTAGTATAACAATGAGATGGGGTACATAACATTCAATAAATAAAGTGAGTGAACACACCATTATCTGTATTGGTAATTATACATTTGTACATCTTCATGGTTTTTGTCCAGTTGGTTCATGCCACATCTTCAATTTGTTAACCAATGAGTATTTTCCACATTGCTCTATCTGCACCTTAAAATAAAAATTCCAATTTTCTTGTTATCAGTACATAGTTATCTTGTTCATGATGGTACGATTGTTAACACGATATCTGGTCTAAGGGGAAAATGAGACTGTTATGTGCTGTGCAAACATCCATTAAAGGCAGTTAGTCAGTGAAGAGTATTCCTTATGGTTAGAGTACTTTGCCAATTCTATTACACTTGTTTTCACATAATATCTGTCATTTGGATATTCTCATCATGAGGAAAATGACCCCAAGACCAGCATCCTACATGATACATATTTACAGAAAACACCACTGAAGACTCGGACTGAATTAGATTAAAACTGTTCTTGTAAAGATAAATGCAGCATTACTACAATGTTTATTGTGTAAATGTTTGTTAAATGCATTGAACAGGTTCAGTTAAAATTACAGAAATCCAGTTGTATGCACTTTTCCCATATGACACTTCAAACTTTGGATTTGTTAGGTGAAAATAAAATTTAAACAATTGTGTGTCTATTAACTTGACAATTAAAGGAGTGTTACTATGCGAGATACTAATATTATATTAGCCTATAGCTATATCATAGGGTTTTCATTTAAATTTTGATACAAAATGATGACAAATATCGGGTGTAAACAGAAAATAATCTATCTTTGGTTGGAAAATCTTTAAGAGTGTACTTTGATAAACAGAAAACATTTGGTGATAATAAGGATTTTTACATTTATTTAATTTCAAATGTAAAGAATCTATCAAAAGTTGCAACTTAAACCCCTACTGGGCATTGTAGGCCTAACTACATAAACCTAGCAAATGTACCAGCACCATACATAGCATCTATTTTGTTGGCTTCATGGGGATATCAAAATATATCTCTTTTGGTGTGTGGCTCTACCAAGTATAAGTGATTAAGCAAAGGAATACCAGTGCTTTGCATTAATTGTCACATTTGTTTAGCATCAGCTTCACCTTATACAAACTCATGTATCTGCCAAGCTTGACTCGTTCATCTGACTGTTTATCCATTTATACATGATCTTTTGAGGTTGACATCCACTCGAGTTCCTCTACTAAATGTCATTGAAAATTGTTCAGTCAGCTCTCACAACTTCTAACGTCAAGATACCAGACAGACTGACAACTCTGTTATATATACAGGGTTGTCCAAAATTATTTTTCCTATTTTAATAATTAAATAACTAAGGAAATACAACCATTCAGTTTTCAACATCTTGTACCTCAACTTAGTTTTTATTGTGTTTTTGTTCACTCCAGTGAGTAGTGTTACCCTGTAAAATGACAACTGTGCAAACAAAGGCTCAGTGTGTTGTTTGGCTTGCAGAGACTGTGGTGTAGTGTAATTACAGATGCCAGTACAGTAAAGAAATATGGAGTACGTTAAAGATATTGTGTATGTCACATCTATAGCAAACATCATGGAGCTAAAGACCAGGATAATGGATGCCATCACCAATGTAACTGTGGACATGTTGCATGAAAGGTAATTTGGGACCACCCTGTATATATAAATAATCAGGTAGGAACCATTACATAACAGGATGTTTCAATTGAAAATCTGAATTCTGTCCTCTCAATAGAGTTTGAAGAAAAGAAAGACTGGACACAAATTAAGTACAGTGAAACAGTCTATTTCCAACAAAGAATAATCAATGTTCAAAAGGATTGCATCTTGTAGGCACTGTTACAAGAGAGCTTTAACAATAAGAAAACATGGCATTACATACGAAATCAACAATGCCATTCTTCTCAGAGTAAAAATGCTACCCATGTGACTGACGACTCTCACTACAAAATAAAAGACGTCATATTCTTGAGGCATCTCATGATTCGCCAATAGAAAATATCACCACCTATTTCTATACCGTATGATCCACTTTACAGGAATCCTTCCCACAAGAAAGTGCATGTGATGTGACACCCTAGTTGAGTGACTCGGTTCATTAGATAACTAGTATGAGAAGACTTGGTGGGTCCCTTAAACAACATTACATATTAAGTAAACATCAATATGTAAAGAAAATTTTTATTTTATATTAAATAAGGTGGTAAGGAGCACATACAATGCATTTATACCATATATATTTGCACACAAAAAAAGATATTTAAGCATTTTATATGTAAATAAGAAGAGATGCAAAAACTAAGGCATATGCTACACCATAGAATATTTTAATGTTTAATCATTTGAACATATTTTTAAACACAGATTGGCTTGCAAATGTATAATGATTTTGGTACAATTAAGAGTGATGAATTGATGAAGATTAAAGTGATTTGAAATGTTATTACACTTCTAAGTTTTTCAGGTATGTTGTACAACCAAACTTTTCCAAAAAGAACTTTTTTAGGCCATTAAATGGTGTCATAAATTGGAATTTGTTATAAGAATTATATTTTGCCACTGGGTATTTTTGAGCATCCTTATAAAAACATTAATATGATTTTGACCCTAGAAATAATCATAACTTTATTTTGATCAGTTTACAAATTAAAGAAATTGTAACTTTAATGCAATTTACAAAATGGTAAATTTGTGTAGTATACCAGCAGGAAAGGAGAAAAAATATGTAAGAAAATAAGAAAAACTTTTAGCACCTTTTTTGTTTTAAAGGTTAGTAATATATACTTAACCAATAGGAGCATATTATATTGAAAAATGTGACAAGCTATACTTCTAATGACTAGATATACATTGGCTAAATTCTCTACATACAAGTTTACATGGTATTGGAAATAATCATGGGAACAGTGAATGAAATACAAAGGATTATAGTCACCTGTTGATAATTTACACTATGAATGGTGGTCATCCAACTGTTGAGACTATGCCACACCAGCATAATGGCTAGAAAAACAAATTAACATTTCCATAAATAGTGTGGTAAATGTAGTCATGGCTCCAAGGACCGACATGCCACATGACAAAGGTAAAATACATCATTTTTTTTTCTTGAGGCTACTCTATGCAGAAGGTATGAAATTTCATAATTTCAGTACAGTTTGTATGGAAACTCTTAAGAGGGTACTTGAAATTAATACTGTTGATAGTAAAAGTGGGTGAGGTAGAAAGCCCAAACTTTTCAACAGTGATCTTAAGTAACTTAGAATATGCTCTTTATGATATATGACAATCCAATAGAAACCTTGCCAATCACCTAGCTGTAAATAATAGTGAAAATGTTAGCTCCAGAACAGTAAGATATATCTTAGTGTGAAATGACCTCAATAGATGTATTGCTGCTCAGAAACCACTCCTCAGGAGAGAGAACCAAACCAAAATGCTGAAATTGGTACCATACTTCAAACAATGGGATGAACAATGCTGGCAGAGTGGTTCTTTACACATGAATCCAAATTCAAGTTGTATAATAATAATCAATGATTATTTGTTCAATGGCAAAGGAGAGAACAGTATACAGTCACTACACATCATTTACAATGGAGAATGTTCGGTAGCCAATAGAAATGTAGGCTACTTCTATCCAGTGGTATTGGAATTCTACACAAAATTGATGGTACCTTGACTACTGGTAAGTACAAGGAAATTCTTATCTGTCATATCATTCCCTAAGAAACAAGACCTGTTGGGCAGGGATTCATCTTCTAGTAAAACAGTGATTTTAAGCATATAGCAAATGTGATGAAACATATTTGGAAGAAAAAAAAAAGTCAATTGAAACACTTATAATTTTGGTTTTGCCTGCAAAAATTTTCAATATGAATATCATTAAGGTTGTATGGGCTCTTGTGGAAACAAACACATTGAAATAGAAATAAACCTTGGCTGACTTTTGGAAGATTATTTTACAATCATGTAATATTAAACCTACAGTAACATTAGAACATAGTGTATTGCTCTGTTAAACCAAATATACAATACTAATATATTGTACAATTTATTTGCTTTCTTTCTGTAATAATATATTGTACTAATAACATATTTAGTGGTTAATACTCATTGTTTGTGTATTACTTGTGCTTTTATGTAATTAAATCCAATACTGTGTGTGTGTGTGTATATATATATATATATATATATATATATAT